CCCACAGGTAGCTGCACAGGTGGAGATGAGATGGAAGTGAAATGAGATAAGATCACTTTATTGGCCTATACAATTTCTTGTATGAGGAATTTGTCTTTTTTCGCAGACCCCAACTTGCTCTCCATGAGACACACAGACAGGGAGAGAAGCTTGGGGTCAGAGCGCAGGGTCAGCCATTTTTATATGGCACCCCTGGAGCAGTTGGGGTTAAGGGCCTTGCTCAGGGGCCCTACAGAGTAGGATTCCTCTGCCGGCCGCGGGATACGAACAGGCAGCCTTCCAGCCACAGGCGCAGATCCTGAGCCAAAGAGCCACTGCACCGTTCGCTAAATGATGTCTGTGAGGGAGAGAAGGGGATCATGTGCAGTATTTATAATGTTTTAGGTGAGGACATGACATCAGGAACGATAATGAATTACTGGTCTGATTGAACTTGGCTGTTGTCATCCCTCCCAATCTTTCATTACAAGCTCCATTTATTACTGCTGAAGGGGCACCACAAGTTATTGAATCAAGGCGTGCACTTAACTTCTTCACACAAAGATATTGAATGCTGGTTGAAGTTTTTCAATAAATAATGACAAAGTCGAATTTGTCTGTGCTATTTGTCAAATGAGGTTAGTTTCATCTGCTGCTATTAGGACTTGTTGAAGAGCAGGTGAAGGTCATATATTTCTAAACAAGTGTAACCATAAAATCCTAAGGGGTTGCATTAACTTTTTCACTGCACTGTAGCTTGACAAATAAAAAAACAATGCAATAAGGTGTGAGGCAGGTTTTGAAGGTCAAATCTACAAAAACCCTGCTTTTCAAATTCATTTAGTTTGAGTGACCTACATTTTAAGTTGCCTACATTTAAGGCCATTGGGTTTTTAACAGCCTTCAACTGTTATTGAAATAAACACACACACACACATTGAATGCTCTCTCAGGAAAATCTCACCAATCCTCCTCTTCGGGAAAAGCAAACACTGACATTCCTGGGCCAGGGAATGAGGGGAATGGAATGGTTCCGGAATGAAAAAAAAACGGACCGCAACCGAGCTGAGGATGAAGGAACTATTCTAGGTGGGTCTCCGGAGGAGAACCACAGAGCACAGGCTGTGATTTATGTCACCGAGGTGGGGCTGCCAAGAACAGTTACTCTAGCTGTGGAGTTCTACTTAACCAGGAAACTACGCAGAAAATGTCTTATCTGTGCCCAGAAGGAATGCTTTTGCCATTTCCATGTTGTTGGAAAAAAAAAACATTAACATTAACTCAAACAGAGTGATACGCTGGCGGCCACTGATGCATGGGTTTTGTACACAGATGTAGCAAGACTGCAGAGAGCAATTTCTTTCTTTTTAACCCTGTGGGACACCGTCTGCCATGACGATGAGTCAGCAAAGCAGTACAGTACTTATGCTTTTGGTAACTGCAAATTAGTGTTTGAGCTCCCTGAAATGGCAGATAGGAAATGCCTTTCCTGTTACTCGATTTGTTAACGCTGAAGACGGGCCGAAACGAATAGAAATATGTGCCTTGCACCTTTGCACTGTTTGTCAAGCAATTACCCCCCATGATGAAGATAAAATACCCTTGGACCTGCCATTGAATCGAGTGTGGATCTACTCACACATAACAAATGTGATTTGAAGTCTATAAAATCCAATTTCATTATTATAAGTGCAGTGGAGACTACATTATTCAACCAAGATAAATTTAGACCTGCTTTTTTATTGTGAGCAGGCACGTACATCACACTACGCCCATTGGAGAATATTGTCTTTGTATTGAGTATTAAGTTTTCCTGGTATAGATGGACTATCCTTTGCTGTGACAGAAGGGACTGTCACAAAGTCAATTCTCTATAGACTGGAAGAAGACTGCACATAACAAATCAACATAGTTGTATATAAATACAGCTGAACTAAGCATTGTATGAACCATAAAGTACTGAAGAGTTCTGATATTTTGAAAACTTAAAATTATTACAGTAATAACTCTAGTCAATCTGCAAGCAGCGTGTACACATATTAGCAAAAAGTCCCTCATTCTGTTTAGAGTCAGGTCAGCATTATTGAGGCTGAACTTATTTCAGTGCCCTGGGTCACAGTGGGACTGTGTGCGTTCTTGCAATATCAGATGGCCTGCTATTTACATTCTTTAACTCCTGCACAACCAGATAGTAGTATTCTCACACTGCTGCACCCGGACAGAAACCCTGGTAACACTGGAGCTCGGTCTTTGATTTCTATCTGGTAATTCTTTCTCAGAGTTTTTGCTTGGGGCAGCTGGCTGGACAGTCACGACAGTCTTTCCACTCCTGGGACTTGAACAGGCTGGGGCAATAGCAGGGGGAGTAGTAAGGGGGGTGAATTTCCGGGGGTTACAAACGTAAATATTCAAGCCCGATGTGTGCTTTTGCAGGACAGACCAACCTTAGTCCTAGCAAACAGCACTTCCCAAACAGTCTCAGCCCTTGGTACATTTCTAACATCCTATACTTTGCGAGGCACCTCGAGGCATTTTAAACTCATCAACACTAATACAGAAAGAAATCACATTTATTTCAAATTGAAGTATAAACAATCTAAATGAGGACTATTTGACTGCACATCTGGAAAGCACTGCTGAAGAGTACTGGGATCTCGTAGTCTTCACATTGTCTGAGCTCGCAGTAAATTAATTTAGTTTTTGGGCTTAAATGGTCAAAGAAGGGTAATTTGAACATACTGTAACTACAAAACGAGCAGTAATGCATTCCAAGTAATTGGCTGGCTATCCTCATTTCTTTAACATGCAATACATACAGCTCATTGAAGAGGGTGTTTGATGGTTGAGATTACCATTAATGAGAAGAACATAAATTACTTTATACCTTACTTACCATAAGGTGTTAAAAGTGTAATCAAAAGGAATACTCATATCCTTTCAGTCTCTTCCTCACACATTGGTCTTTGGGGGGGCTAAGCTTGTTTCAGCAGCCTGCCCAGCTCTGCCAAAGCATCTGTAACAGCGACAGAGCCAGATGCTCAGGCTCAGATGCTGAGAATTAGTGAGCACTCCCTGGTCTGCATGCCCACCACAGCTGTTCCACATTACCCTTTGGAAAAGGCCTGCAGGCTACAGAGTGACGCAGAATGCAAAGAGCTCCTCTGTTTCTGCAAAAACCTTAAAATGCCGCAATTTCCTCTTTTCTACATTAGAACAAATATGAAACACAGGTGCATAACTCTCAGGCAGCCCAATAATCACTTTATCATTAAACATCACCATGAACTGGGCTTCAGAAAATAAAAATGTCTGCCAAAGAAACAGGAGAATTACTACAGCTTCTAATTTCCTCTGCTGAAGAATTATCATTAATCACATTTAATTAATGATAAGTACGTTTTATCAATTACGTTTCGGAAATGAATGTGATTTAATTTTCTGAAGGTTTCCTGCAGATCTCAGCTTTGTTGCATTGCAGCATTTAATGGAGAGGTGCTGCAATCTCTAAAACACCGCAGATTCGAGCCGACTGAAAAGGTTTCTTCAGCCGGAGAATTAAAGGCGGTGCTATCACCTAAGGCAAACTGTAGAAAGAATAATTGGAAAGTACCATTTATTTGAAACTGTAAGTTCAGGTCCAATATCTATTTTTGAAAACCAGAAGTTTGGAAATAAAACAGGGAAATAGTGAGGAGTGGAAGCATCACGCCACAGTCTGAAGAATCTCTTTGTAAGTTTTGTCACTTCATGTATCAGAGCTTAACCTTTTTGTTAAATGTTTTCAGTTTCTTTAGATGCAGAGCTGCTCAGCAATCAAGTTTGCAACACCCTTACAAAGACTGTTTTCTTCACTCGCATACAGAATTAGAATTATGACCCTAGAAAGGACCATACAGTCATCCAACAATACATTTAAGGTCAAATGAATTATTGATGTTATGGAAGACATGTATACTGCCTTTCATAGCTGGTCCAGGATATCAAACGCATAATAAATATAAATGATCAGATCTGTAACGTCTCCAGAAAAGTTTGAAACAGAACCAAATTGTTTATACAGAAACTCACGAATTACCTGGCGTCTGATTGTTTTGTTTTTTTGTAATAGTGAATTATTCAGGAATGAACAAGATGCCTCATTTACCAATTCAGTTGAGATGAGTTACTGAAAGCCATACAGATTAAAAGTATCGGGACATGAATTAAGTCCACCTCTTCTGAAGGAGACTGGTTTTTAATAATTTAATAAAAAGGACGTCCATTTTAGGTTTTCTATGCATAAAATGAATGAAAACAATGTATTCCAGCTCCCGGGAGGACTGTGCGATATCTGTGCCCTTCGCATGTGTTTCTTGGTACTCGTACTCGGACTGACATCGCCTGCTCCCGCTTGTCACGGTGGTCTGACTCGTCCACTGGGACGCACGACCCCCTGCCGGTGATGGTGATCTGTTCTGAAAGAGCCGTGGCCCCGCTGTCACGGAAGCACAGATCCAGTGTCTGAAGAGCCGCACAAGGCCGGGAAGCGGGCGCAGGTCTCCCGAGGGCTTCGGCAGCTCTTGACTCGACTCCATCCCTTTGCGCAGGACCGAGTTTGTCAACCCGCTCACAGAAACCCGTCTTAAACCTCTCTTGCTCCGTGTTCACCCACAAATCTGCATTCATTATCCTACTGTACGATAAGCACTCGCCAGCATGCGTAGTTCCTGTTAAGTTTTACTTTTTTTGTTTCTTTTACGCATTGCAGCTTTTAAGCTCCCTTCTTGCCTATTTCACACTGCCCTCTGGTGTTTAAATCGCTGTTGCATGCCAAGGCATTTCAGCTTTTTCACCCGTCGCTCTTGGAAGCGGAATACTCCCGGCTGCAGTATTATGTTACTGTCACTTCACTGAGCGCAGCGTCAGAACAATCATTTTAAAGGTTCTGCTTCACTGGATGTTAATCTAACCCATCTGAGCGCACAGGCGACCTCATCACAGCACAGCCCCCGCGTCTGCGACGACAAAACAGGCTGCACGAGAAGTGTTCATGTTTCCATTTATTTGTAAGACTGCAAAACGGCCCTTCCAGGGCCCGTGGCTAGCTGTTATTCGTCACAACAGATTGAAACCCTAAACTTCACTGGATTACAAGCGGGTTCAGAATTTAAAACGAAACGCACAGGAAAAAGCCACACACACACACAAAAAAAAAATGAAAGCGAGCCCTGCTGGGGGAAGCTGACAAAATGACCTCAGTGCCCGCTTCAAGGGAAGGCCAGGTGACGTGGAGAGGGTATCGACGGGCTCCTTAAGCACCTGCGGGGCTCGTCCTCAGTTATGCAGGCTGTACCGCGGACGGACAATAAAGCGAAACGACTCGTAATCGGACAGGCAGGGGTAGGTCAGCCCGTCAGTGCCGTTGGAAGGGAGGACGGCCAGGTTGTTCTTGAATTCTTGGACGTGGACGACGTAGCCACCGCTGCACACCCACAGGACCTGGTTCTCGTACAGGACGCTGTAGTTCCCATACCTCTGGCCTGTGTTGCCCGAGAGGCTGACGGCGGGGGCGGAGTCGCACCTGTAGCCGCTGTTTTGGCAGCCCTGCACGGAGGTGTAGACGCCCACGCTCCACGAGATGGGGCTGGACTTCAGAAAGGCGCTGGTGTGAGCTGGGGTTTGGAAGGACTGGGACCACCTGCCACTGGACCCCATGTCGTATCCTGAGCCGTAGTGCCTATAGGAACCGTATTTTCTGTGGTAGGAGTTGTATCTGTACGCGTCTTGGGCGGTAGACATGTTGTAGGTGAAGCTCCAGGGGTCAGCGGTGTAGATCCTGGGTATGTAGTCTTCCCTCATTTGCTCCTGGTGCTGCATGAGCTTGGGGAATGAGACCGAGTGGAACTGGAATCCTTGGAGCATCCCGCTCTGGTAGACCTGGCTGTGACTCTTGAAAACGCTGGAGGTGAACTGGAGATCGAAGAGCTTCTCGGGGGGGATCATGGGGAACCGTATCTGCTGCAGGAGGGCTGACTCGCTCTCCAGGCTGGGGGCGCCATCACCCGCGTGGTTGGCCTTGACCCAGCTCTCCACCGCCTCCAGCAGGAAGGCCTCGTCCGGCACCACCAGATCGGAGCGAGACAGCAAGGCTTGCACGGTCTCCCTGCCCAGCTTCGTCCACGTGGGAGAGCCAATCAGGGCCTTGCAGTTCCAGGCCAGGTACTGGAGGCAGGTCTCCTGTAACATGGGGTCCCTAGAGCGGATGGCGTATTCATACAAGGACAGCTGGTTCTTAAAGGTGGAGTCCTCGGGCAGGAGCCAGGAGAAGAGCTGCCCAGCATATTGCTGCAAGGTGCTCACCTGGTAGTCGGAGGCCAGCTTGTGAAGGCACTGGGCTGACGAGAGGGTGACATCTATCCTGCGTGTGTACAGGTACCTGGAGTGGAGCACGAGAGTGAGGCAATCCGTTAAATCGTCAATCAGGTAAGCAGAACAAGGCAAACTACAAAGCCAAACTACAAGGCTACAGGTTTTGCGTCAGTGATTAGCCCTTCACTGTGACTGATGTAAAACAAGGCTCAAAAGGCAAAGGGCCTGCTTTAACTGAGTTTTAACTTAAAAAGCACAAAGAAACGTGACCTTATTTCTACCAGAGATTAAGTAGCAGATACTCGTCAAAGAGAAGGGGGTGTGTGAGGACGCAGTGCGTGCAGTTCACGAGCACTGCGGCTGTGACGTCACCTGATGAAGTCAGCGACGAAGGGCTGGCAGTCCTGAGTGACTTCCATGGTGATCTGACTGGAGTTCGGGGTGAGATTAAGGAAGGAGGCCTCCGCGTTGAGGGACAGCACCACCTTGTGCACGCAGAGGGTTTGTGATGTGCCCTCCTTCTCCTCCTCTCTGGAGCTCTTCACGGTGATGTAGAAGTCACAGCCCCGCTTGCTGTCGAACAGCTCCCCCAGGGCCTTCGGCAAGTCTGAGCTGCTGTCCAGAGAATACACGCTGGTGTTGTCCAGCGCCACATCTGGAAGAAAGGCATAACTGTTAGGCTTCCAAAACTGCCAAAGCACTGATACTTCTTAAGGTGTTAATTAAACCAATTCAGCTTCTTGCATTATTTCTTGAAAGCCTTCTTACTGTTCTGATGATCCTTTTTAAAATCAAAATAAACACTTGATCTGAAAAATCGGAGAATATTGCTTCACTATCGGCAGTTTTACAGGTTTATTCCATGCTGAAAAGGAAAGAAAAAAGACGCAACATTTTGGCTGTGAAGCCTTCTTCAG